CCCCAAAACCCCAAAACCCCAAAACCCCAAAACCCCATGAAATTACGTAATTATAATTTTTAATGGAGCAATCTAGCCTCGATTTCAAAACCATCACTGTTGAATTTGGTATGCTCTCACTAGTTATCAACATATGCAAATTAGTGAAGATCTAATAGGTTTTATAGCTGACAACGGAGTGGCCACACTGACACTGAACCGTCCCAAAATGCTCAACGCTTTTAGCTACCCCCTCATGTGTGAACTTAAAGAAGCCTTGACATATCTTGGGGTAAAGTTTATCAGTAATCATTAGAGCCCAGGCAATGATGAGGATGTAAGAGTTGTAGTAGTCAAGGGAAATGGAAAAGCATTCAGCTCAGGCCTTGATCTTACGGATACCTCTGAATCTTTCTCAGAACCTGTTGAGGAGCATGGCCCAGATGTTGCAAGAAAAGCAATCGAAATGTAAGACTAAAGATATTAGATTTCTCCATCATTGTTAAAAACGACTTTGACTTTTTATGTTATTTTGAGAATCCCATTCCTATTCATTTCTAAAGGAGCTGTAAAATTTCTTGTCTATAGCACCAAGTATGTAGAATCATGTCAGCAGACAATGTCAGCTGCGGAAGAATGCAGAGTTCCTGTTATTGTAGCTCTCCATGGCTACTGCTTTGGAGCTGCAATAGATTTCTCCTCAGCTTGTGACATTAGACTAGCTGCAAAGGATGCTAAAATGTCCATCAGAGAAGTTGAGGCAGGTATGGTTTCAGATTTTGGAACTTTACAAAGATTTGACAGAAAAGTCGGAAATAGCTCTTGGTTCAGAGAACTTTCCTATACTGGAAGATTCTTTTACCCTGAAGAGGCTAAGAAACATGGATTCATAACAAACATCTATGAGACTAAAGAAGAATTACACAAAGCTGCTCATGAACTAGCTGACGTCATTGCTTCTAAATCCCCAGTTGCAGTCGTCGGATCAAAAGCCTCAATGAACTTCTCCCAAGATCACTCAGTCAGTGACGGCTTAACCCACATCAGAATGATGAACTCCTCACTTCTCCAGTCCGAGGACACCGTAATCGCCGCTATGGCTTCACTCTCCAAGCAAGTGCCCAAATTCTCAAAGCTATAATCCAAAAAACAGCACTCAATATCCCTCTTCCACTCGGGGTTTTGGGGTTTTGGGGTTTTGGGGTTTTGGGG